ATCTATCTATCTATCTATCTATCTATCTATCTATCTTTCTATCTATCTTTCTATCTATCTATCATCTATCTATCTATCTATCTATCTCTCTCTCTCTCTCTCTATCTATCTATCTATCTATCATCTATCTATCTATCTATCTATCTATCATCTATCTATCTATCTATCTCTCTATCTATCTATCTATCTATCTATCATCTATCTATCTATCTATCTATCATCTATCTATCTATCTATCTATCTATCTATCTATCTATCATCTCCCTCCCTCTCTCTCTCTCTATCTATCTCTCTATCTATCTAATCTATAATCTGTTCTAACCTACCTCCCCCCCCCTCTCTCTCACACACACACCCCTTCCAAGGCAACCACATTCCTAACCTGCTTACAAGAAGAAAGAAACGGGGGAAAAAGCAGCTCGGTAGCCAGGCAAGTTCCACCCCTCCACCCTTTCCCTGCTCCCCTCACTACCTCTTGTTCCGATGCTAGCCTTGTGTTCCCACGAGTGAGCCGGCTATGTGGGCGGCGCAGCCTTGTGTTCCTGCGCAGCCTGGATTAATTGCTTTGGGGGGTGTTCTGCGGGTGACATTTCTCTGTGGACCACCAGTTGGCGACCACTGTTCTAAACTATCCACCCACCCACCCTTCCATCCACCCACTATAAATAGCCTTGACTCCAATGGCTAAATCAAAACAGAAAACCGTTCTATTCTTTCTTGGAGTAGCATCATCAAGAAAAGCATATAAAACATTAAGCATTTGTCTCTCTGTCTGACTATCTAGTCTATCTAATCCTAGGATGGCGAACCTATGGCACACGTGCCAGAGGTGGCACACACAGCCCTCTCTGTGGCCACGTGAGCCATCGCCCCAGCTCAGCTCTGGTGCGCATGCGCGCATGCACCTCCCCCCGGCCAGCTGGTCTTTGGGTCTCTGCCGTGCATGCGTGGGGGGATGCCCAGGGAATGGAGCACATTGGTGGGGGTGGGTTGCATGCCCGGGGAAGGTGCGTATGCACAGAGATGTGTGCGCATGCACAGGGAGGGGCAAATGAGCGTAGGATGAGGTATATGCATGAGGGGTGTGGCGCATGCGCGGGGGATGGGGCACGTGCACATGGGAGCGACGGGCATGCGCAGGGATAAGGCGCATATATGGTGTGCATGCATGTGCAGGGACTGGAGTACATGCAGGGGGGCAGGGCACATGCACGGGATGGGGCGCATGCATGGGGACATGCACATGTACATGGGCTGGGCCACATGCACAGGAAGGTGGGGCACATGCATGGATGGGGCACATTCATGGGGACATGCATGCATGCGCAGGGGATGAAGCACATGTGTGGGGGGCAGGGCACATGCACGGGGATTTGCATGCATGCTCGGGGCCAGGGCGCATGCATGGGGGGGTGGGGCGCATGCGTAGGGATGTGGGCGTATTGCATTTTCAGGATGTGCATGTGTGTTTTGGGCACTCACTGCTGAAAAGGTCAGTGATCACTGATCTAATCTAGCTAGCTAGCTAATGTATCATCCATCCATCTATCCATCTAGCTATCTAGCTACATATCCATCCTTGCCCATCTCTGACAGAGGACCTGGGGGGTACCCAGGCAGTCCTTGATTTAGGACCACAATTGAGCCCAACATTCCTGTTGCTAAGCTAGACAAATGAGTTTTGCCCAATTTTACTTTTCTTGCCATAGATCAGGGTGGGATTCTACCAGTTCGCACCTATTCACTAGAACCGGTTGTTAACATCCTAAGCAGTTCAGAGAACCGGTTGTTAGAAAAAATTACTGGCCTAATCCTGTAAGGAAGGCAGGAAGGAAACATTCTGGTGTTGCTTACAGAAACTGCCTCTCCGTTAACCCTTATTACATTCTTGGCAGGACTAGACTTCCTTTCTCAGGAATGTCTCTGAAGTTTTTTCCCCCTCCTTTGCTGGTACTTTGCTTGTGTGGAGTGACCATTCAAAGTTACAATGGCACTGAAAAAAGTGACTTATGACCATTTTTCACACTTACGACTGTTGCAGCATCCACACAGTCATGAGAGGCCAGGCGAGGAGATGCATGCCTCGATATGAGTGATATTGAGTTGGCCACACCCAGCCAATAACATGACCACCAAGCTACGTCCACCCAGTCACATGACCACCAAGCCACGCCCACCACCTAAGCCACACCCACAGAACTGGTTGCTTGTCGGAAGGTCACAAAAAAGGGATCCTGGGGACACTGCAACCGTCATAAATATGAGCCAGTTTGCCAAGCATCTGAATTTTGATCCCGTGACCACGGGGATGCTGCAGCGGTTGTGAGTGTGAAAAAGGGTCGTCAGTCACATTTTTCAATGCTGCTGTAACTTTGAACAGCCGCTAAATGAAATTGTGGTAAGTCAAGGACTGCCTGTACATCGTGTGGTTCTGGACTTTAAAAATAAACATGTAAGGCCATGGTGGCGAACCAATGGCACACATGCCGGAAGTGGCACGCAGAGCCATTACTGCCGGCACGCAAGCACTTGCCCAGAAAAGGTCGTCTGCTCATGTGCACACGTCGCCCGCCCGACAGTTGATTGTCGGGTATCTGGCACATGTGTGGGGGCACGGCGGCGCACAGGACACACTCGCACATGCACAGAAATGTGGGGGGCTGGTCGCGCGCATTCGCAGAAGCATGCAGTTCAAGTCGTGCGGGTCACGTATGCACAGAAGCGCGAGTCCCGCGTGCATGTGCAAGAGGCATGGGGAGGGGGCTGTGCGCATTGCCTTCTGGGTGATGGCACATGAGCATGAGCAGCCAAGCGTACACGCAGTTATGGGCAAGGGAGCCCAAAAAGGTTAGCCGCTACTGTTGTAAGGCTTTCTCGATGAAGCCGGGGGGAATTACCAAAAATAAAACGTGAATTGCAAAAAGTTGGCCATTTTTTTCCCACCCCACCCCGTAAATTTGGATTATTTTGCAGAATAGAATCTGCAGGGTTGTGCAAGCTAAGTTTCTTTTTTCCTTTTAAATACAAACTTCCATTAATTTTATCAATTGAAACAAAACGAACAACATAGAAAGAATTAAAAGGCCTTCAACAACGACAGATTGTGGTTTTTTATTTGTAAGATTATTTTGTGCCATATTTACAACTAATATGTTACGCGAGTATATATTTACTACAACTACTGCTTATCTTCTTTTACCGTTTACTATGTAATTGGTCTTCGCTCAATCCATTCAAATCGATATTCCCAAATCATAAGAGTACTCTGATAATGAGAAACTGCTGGTGACCTTCTACCGCTGCACCATAGAGAGTATCTTAATTTACTGTACCTGTGTATGGTTTGCCAATTGCACAGGGGCAGATAGGACAGCACTCCAGAGGGTGAACGTCGTTGCCCAGAGGATCATTGGTTGCCCTCTCTCCCCTCTTTGGAAGAGCTTTATAGCTCCCGCTGCCTTAAGAAAGTTAACATTCTCAAAGATCCATCTCATCCTAGGAACCCTTTTTGTTTTTTGAACTATTACCATCTGGCAGACAGTACAGAATAATAAAAACAAGGCAAATAGGCTGAAAAACAGCTTCTATCCCAGGGCAGTAGCTCTTTTGAATTCTGCTGTATAGTGCAGTGTTGGTGTGGTGTCGGGGGTTTCTGGTTCAATGTGTGAAGGGTGAAGGATGTGTGTTTGTGTTTATTTTCATGGTCATGATGTGCACTGAAGATGGTGTTTGCTTTCGTTGTACGTGGTGCAATGACAATAAACTAAACAATTCTTTGTCCTTTAAAGCTAGGGTTAGTTTGTCCATTTCTTCACAACTCATTATCTTTTGGATTTCCAGCACTGAGCGTATGCCAGTCTGGCTGCGGTCAGTATATGTAATATTATATATTTTATATTACATAGCAGTTAAGTTTCTAAAAGACAACATTGTTTTTTTTTCCCCTTCTGTTTTTAGGAGCGATGTTCAATCAAATGGCAAAATGGGTGGAATATGACAACGAAACTGGCATTTATTATGAGACCTGGATGGTCAAAAGCAGCCCAGAAAAAAATTCCCGCGTCTGGTTTGAAGCTTATGAATGCTCCAAATTCGTGCAAAGGACCTACCAGAAGCTGGCTGAGCTGGGGGCGGTTTTCAAGAAGATCCAAACCAATTATACCACCATTACTCTCTTCAGCGGGGAGCCTGTTTGCCTGGGCAATGAGACGAGTCTCTTTGGACTGCCGGGAAACAAATCTTTGGCGTTGGCTATTAGGAATTTCTACCTGCCTTTCAAACCGTACCACTCGGTGAAGGAGTTCTTCGTTAACCTATTGAAGATACTTGAGGAGGTAGTTCTGGATCATCGGTTTTATTTGTTTTATAATCTGGAATATTGGATTTTGCCCATGAAGTATCCTTACATGAAAATAGCGTATGAAGAAATCCCGCTGCCTGATTCCAATGCTACCAAATTCAATGCGTAATCCTTGCCTGTTTTAACCCACTTGTCATGCCCCTATCGGAGTCTGAATCCGAATAGCTGACAGGGAGTGGGAGTGTGGCTCCGTTGGCTGTGGAGGAAACTGGGGAAGGGCAAAGTCCAGCTGGGCAGAGCAGGGGAGAGATAGAACAAGGTTGACGGAGTTCAGAGGAAGACCCAGGCCTACCCCCTCTTCATCCTAGGGCACGCAGGGAGGAACGGAGAAGGGAGCAACGTGAGTTGTGTGGCTTATGGGGGAGGAAAGGGCCCTGACTCCCTTCATTAACCACAGCTGGGAAGAGTTTAAGAGAGATGCATGCCGAGTATGGCATCTGCTGGGAACAAACGTGAGTTTATCTTGTGTTATCTTTGGTTATCTGTATTCCTGGCATCTTCCCAACCATGTTGAGTTATTGCCGTGCCTTCACATCTGGAATTCTTTCTCTTGCCCTGCTGGACTAATTACCTCATTCTGCCTTGTTTGGACTTATAGTTACAGTTTTTGTTGACCATGTTTTGGACTTGAATCTCTGCAGCTAAAGACTGTTCCTGTTTTTCTCCAGCCCAGAAGGTAACCTGTATATTGGGGGCAAAGTTGGAGCTAATAAAGAGACTTCTACTGATTATCTGACTGTGTTGCCTTTGTGCCACGCTCTTGGTGGGCCGAATCCCTTTGTAAGATGGAACTTGTCTCGCCAAACTCTGGTTTTGTGTGGTGTTAAGGAGCAGGATGGTTTTAACCAGGTCTTTAATTTACCTCTATTACCATCTGTTTCAGTGGAATCAAGCTTTGGCGGATAGCAGTGTGGTAGGATCACAAGGATCAGTAACTGCGGATGATTGGATTGTAGTCTAATAGAGGTCAGGAAACATCAGATTAAGTTGCTGTAATTTGTGGATTCTTCTCCCTTGAATGTCTTGAATGGCAAGTTTATAAAATGCTGGATGGATCAAAACCAAAGACGCCTCGAACTTGTTAGCAGTGGGCAATTTGTCCGACAAAAGTTAAGCAAGCATTGATGATGTTACCTAGTTTGGTAATGAAATGTCTGCAAGAAAATCATCAAGGCCAGAGAGCACTGAAAACCTCACAGAAAGTAAGCTAGTACACCCCTGCAGGGGAAGACTGAAAGATCGATCCAATAACATTTTTAAATAAAATTAATGCCTGAATGATTGTATGTGGTGTTCAGGAATACAGAGAATGGTACAATCAAGGCTTTTAACACAGGCCTTCCAACTTGATATTCAGTTGATCAGCAGTTATGTTTCCCCAGATGTGTACACGGAGGATTGTAAACTTTGGCATGTGTCTACGTAGCCATACATCAATATTTGGTACTGATTAACAACTGTGTTAGGTGTTCCTCCTCCCACATCCTATCTAAGAACAGAACAGAACAACAACAAAGAGTTGGAAGGGACCCTGTAGGTCATCTAGTCCACCCCCCTGCCCAAGCAGGAGACCCTACACCATTTGTGGCGGATGCCAGTTCAGTGTTTTCTTGAACTTGAGATCCAAACTTAGCAAGCTCAGCATAGCAAACCTGATCCTTGGAAAAAGTGCAGTTTCTGCAGTACATCTTAGAGCAATGAAGAAGAAAAAGCTAGAAAGTTAGAAAGATTCAGTTCCTCCATCACCATTCAGAATTTTCCTGTCCAGTTCTGACAACCACACGTACACCCCAGCGGTGGTGAATCTGATGGCCATGAAGAAACCTGTGTGCCTTAACTGCTTGCCAGATGCCACCGGGCACAAGGGCTCCATTTCCATGCTTTGCTAAGTCTTAACTTTTTTTTTTTTTTCCTGATAAGAGCCAACGGATCTGTGGGATTTCTTTTTCAAGATGGACGGGGAACTCAAGTCTCTTTTGGTGGAAAAAGGATTGCAAAACAAAAGTACTTTGTGTTCTTTAGAAATATTTTTCACTATACCTTTGTTTGTACTAAGCATCATTCCAGATTTCATGCTATGGGTAAAGATCTTTTTTTTTTTTGATAGCTGTTCCAGAAGAACAGCTTCTCCTTCCCATCAGATGGAAACTGAGAGCAGCTTCTGTCTGCTGCTCAGAACCAGGAACTGTTATTTGTTGCTGGAAACATGGGGAGTCCTCGTTTAGCAACTGGGCTTCACAACTTAGACGTTAAGTGAAGCAGTGAAGCAGTGAAATGTCTCTGCTCAGGATCTTCAGCTTTCCTTTGCTTTACAGACCCAAGAAGGTTATAAATGTGAGGACTGGTTGTAGAGTTACTTTTTCATCATCATCATAATTACAAATGGTCACTAAACAAGGCTGTCCCTTAGCAAGGACTACTTTGTACAGACTGGTAGCCGACACAGATTAAATCGTTCTTTAATTGTGAAAAATAAATGGCTTTCAGATACTTTTGGGTTCCTGTCTTTGATATACCGTGTTTATGATTACAAAAGCCACTGCTAAATGTGTTCAGGAGTTAAAACAATAATTGGAAGTTATTCCACCCCTCCACCTCCCCACATCAGATTCTTGTCTGGTTAGAAAGGAGCTGCACAAATTTATTTATAACATGATGTCACTGATGCTGCAACTTTGGGCAGCTTTATAATGCCTGACTGGCTTTCTGTTCTTGTTTTGGCTAACAATCCCTTTTTTTCCTTGTAAGGTAGACAAAATGAACTAAAGCAGTTTTACCCGTTACGAGATTCTACTTTAATAGCAATAGCCCTTAGATTTATATCCCACTTCATAGCCTTCACTCTGCGGTTTACAGAGTCAGGATATTGCCCCCAACAATCTGGGTCCTCATTTTATCGACCTCGGAAAAGATGGAAGGCTGGTCAATCTTGAGCCGGTCAGGATCGAACTCCTGGCTGTGGGCAGAGGTAACCTGCACTATTCTGCATTCTGATCACTGCATCTTCATGGTTCTTTTTAAGACCCCTCTTCTAAAGGGTCTTAATTTCTTTTGCTTAGCCTGCTTCTGTTGGAAACAGGAAACACTTTCCTGTATGATTAGGAAATTAGTGTTTCGGTGACATCCTCTTGCATTCATAGATTGCCTTTTCCTCAGTTTAAGTGCTATAGAATTTCTAACCAGACAATGAGGGAAAATATCTTAATGACAAAAAAAAGTATCGTAATCATGTTTACAAACTGACCCGAGTACATGGTCTGCTGGGAAATTTCTCATTTTGCTTTTTTTGTACAGCTAAAAGAAAAAAATACCCCCCCCCCCCAAAGAACTGGTAGGATCAGCTATTCAGCCGACTCTCCTTGAAGGGAACAGCTTCAAGCAGAGATCGTCCTACCAACTTCTAAGCAGTTCTCAGGTCCATTCACATCCCTCATCCTGAGCGCCATTCCATAATGCTAAATAAACCCTATCCTCTCTGGGATGCTTGCTGACAATGGGAACTTAGACAGGAAACAAACTTTTAGCCTTCTCCTGTTTACAAAGGTAAGCAGTGGCAGTTGCCAATGAAGTCTGCATCAATGCAAATAGCGGTGAAGGATATTCACTTCCCAGAAAATCTTTTGGGGGTGAGGCAGCTCACAGTTTAAGCCTTCCCCCAACAGTTTTTCATGCTCCTTTTGAGCTGTCAAAATATGTATGCAAAGACTGGCAAAAAGAAGAATCATGTCACATTATAGAAACAAGTAAACTTAATTTTGTTTTGTTTAAAAACAACCAATCAACGAACCAGAACTAAGTACATGGTCAGATCAGAAAGACATGGAATGCTGCATTAAATTACAATCAAATCTAGCTCCTAAAACGGATGTCATTCACATACCTTGACAGAATTGTGCTTACACGTTATATACTCAGTCCATTCAAGCAAGTCGCATTAAAATTAGACATTTGCAGTTAAATATCTATACATTTCACAGAATAACAACGAATGGTTGGTTTTCTAATTAAAGGATTAAAATACCAAATGAATAATTGGGAAAGCTGGTCTTTTTTTGCAATATGTAACCAAAGTTTGAAATCTACCGTAGAATTAATTCTACCGTATTTGAATGCCTGTAGAGAAACGGCTGCCAAAAATATTCATCAGATGCAGATTATTTTTGGAAGAACAAGTCATCCTGCTCTGTTTGAATCCTAACCATTTTAACGAAGCTGTTTAATGCGGAAGGGTAAAACCTGCTAAACCCATTCACTTGCTCAACCAGTTGCTTCTCTTTCTCTGTATCATTATGAAGGTGACTGCTATGAAATTTATTTTAGATACAGGCTACAAATGAAGGGCGTGGTGGGAAGGAACAGCATTAACTTGCAATTTTTAAAAAATAAATTCAATTTGGCAAAGAGTTAAAAAGCTGGCCTGTTACCATTGTCAGGTTTTTGAAATTTAAGGGATAGGGATGTTTTTGCACCTGAAAAGTCATTCTTTTTGTTGTTGCAACACCTCCAAATTGACTTTAGATTGACTGGAAGAAGGGGCAACGCCTGAAATCAGACCATTTTGAGTGTGTGCTGGGGTCACATTTTCCACTAATGGGTTATTTACAGTCACTGATGGCTGATCATTAGCAACTTCTCATATTTTAGTTGCCATTCAAGTTGCCATTTACTGTAAAAGACCTATGCAAATGGCTTTCATTCTTAGAAAACTTGTATAGCACATTTTAAAGTAAATGCTACAAAATAATTAGCACATGATTTTTAAAAAGCCCAAAATACAGGTTATGGCTCCCATTAATATTTTCGCTGCAGGGCTTTAATAATACCTTAAAACATGTTTATTATACAGGCCCTATGATTATTATCGTGGGGCAGTAATAATATGATGTAGGGCAATGTACAGCAATAATATATTTTCATTTAAAAAAAACTATAGAGAGAACAAAAAGGAAATAACACTGCTAATAATGTATGTACCACTAGGTTTTTTGGAGAGGTTTAAAAAGCAGCAAATACTTATATTTTCCACACACAAACATACCCCAGCTACCGTGTCGCAGGGCTCTATATTTATAATGTTACAGAAACACCAAACGACCCACCGTTATGGTTTGGGATCTGGAATTATAAATCTGCACTTGAAGCAATTCATTGTTATACAACCTGGATTAATGTCTACAGCTTCCCGGATTACGTCATTAAAGTGATATATGCTCCTTACAAAGTCAGTTGCAGGAATATTTCCAAGAGCCAGGCTAAAATACTGTTAATTTATCAGAAGATTTGGAACTGCAGCCCCTGAATATGTAAATACATGTCAATGTCTACATACGCTAGCATCCGTCTTGTTGGGACAAGAAAAAGCAAACGATAAAGTCATGTGATCATGTTTGATTCCTCCTTGGTCACTTTTTCAACCCCGATTTTAGAAACCAGCACTAAGGAGTAGACTGACTTTCTACAGTGCTTCAGAGATCCTAGGCTCACGAAGAAGCTTATTGTGATGAAGCTGCCACAAGGCTGGCCCAAGCTAAGGCGTTGCCTCCAATAGCTCTACCAGGTGGGCATCATATCTGGAAACCAAACTCTCCCAAGATGCTTGGATACTTCCCAATGAATCTGCTCCAAGCTGTACTTCTGGTCGGGAATCAAGACCTCTTCCATTATAGACAGCTGAGACAAGCGGCCGCCACACATTTTCACAAATTCGACAAAGGCACTGCAGGAAACCTCACATTCTCCAAGGCCGATGGCCGATAGGTTCTTACAACGCTCAGCAATGCAGATCAACTCTTCATCCAGGGGCCGCAATCCGTTGGCACACACCACCAGCTCAACCAGTCGTGGACACGTCATTCCGACACGTCCGAGGACTTCTTTGCTGACCGACCTCCCAAAATAAAGATGGGTGACCGGAGTTTCGTATCGGAAGAAGGGATCAAATTCTTCCTCGTACAAGAAAAAGTACATCACCAAATTCACTTTGGGGGAATGCCTGATTAAAGCGTCCCAGCTGCTTTTCTCCAGCGTGTGGAAGTGCGTCTGTCCTGGGTTCTCACTGATGACGTCAATGCGCAAATGTTCCAACCGGACATGTTTTTCAGAAGACAGAGCTAGGAGGAGCTCATCGCTTAACAAGTGGTAGTTCAAGGCCAGCTCTCGTAAGCCATGGCACTGGTCAGCTACACAAAGGATTCCTAAGGAAAGAAAACACAATGTGAATTCTCCTTCGGCCTGTCATAGAATAGAAACACATCCATTACATTAAGTGCAAAAACTAATAACTCTGAATATAGAATAGAATAGAATACCTTTATTGTCATTGCATTCCATGAATACAACAAAATTTGAAAAGTACTCCAGCACAGTGCCCCAAACACCGCATCACAATCACACTACAGAATATTTAAAAATTAAAATAATTAAAATAATACATAGGACTGAATCACAAATGCACTGTTTGAGTCAAGACAATTACTGCCTTGGAAAAGAAACTGTTTCTCAATCTAATAGTCCTCATTTTAGGACACCTATAACGCCTCCCTGATGGTAACAGTTCGAAATATGAATGTCCAGGATGAGAACAGTCTGTGGAGATTTTTAGTGTTCTAGAGAGAAGTCTGGTCTTTGCAATCTCTTCCAAAGAAGAAAGAGAGCAACCAATGATTTTTTTTGTGCTTTATTTGTAACTCTCTGGAGCATCTTCTTATCCACTACAGAGCATCCAGCATACCACACCGTTACATAGTATGCCAAACCAGCAACTTCTCACCCAGACCACCCTTTTTCAGCAACCTCAGAAAGTGTAGGTGCTGTTGGGCCTTCTTTGCAGTGGCCATAGCGTGGACCAACCAAGTAAGATTGTCGGAAATATGAGTTCCTAGGAATTTAAAACTATGAACTCTTTCCACACAGTCTCCATTGATATATAGTGGGAGAGGCTCTGCTTTGCATCTTCTGAAGTCTATAATCAATTCTTTGGTCTTTTTGATGTTCAGGGTAAGGTTACGACTCTTGCACCACAAGACCAGGCTGAGAACCGAATTTAATTCTGAGAATTAAACCTGCTAATAGAGCTAGATTTTAATCAGACAGTAAATTTTCTTCATGTTGAATATATACTTTCCTATGATTCATTATGGGTAGTCCTCAACTTATGACCATTTGTTTAGTGGCTTTTCAAAGTTACAACGGCACTGGAAAAAGTGACTTATAACCGGTTTTTTTTACACTTATGATTGTTGCAGCATCCTTGTCACATGATCAAAATTTGGTCCCTTGGCAACTGGCATGTATTTATCACTGTTGGGGTATCCCGGGATATGATCCCCTTTTGCGACCTTCTGACAAGCAAAATCAATGGGGAAGCCAGATTCACTGAAGAAACACATATTAGTTTATCAAATGCAGTAATTTACTTAACAACTCTGGCAAGAAAGGTCACAAAATGGGACAAAACTCACTTGACAACTGTCTTTGCTTAGCAACAGAAATGTTGCCTCAATTGTCATAAGTCAAGGACTACCCATAATTAAAGAACCTCCATCTACTTCTAGAATAATAAAATAACCATTCCTTCTTTGCCAAAAGCTATTAGGTCATTTAAAAAAAAAATGCAGCATGTTACTCAAGCAAATGTTTTGCCCGTGGCAGGAATCACGTGTTGTGGAAATGACTAAAGCAGGGAGAGGCCTGGCACATATGATGAAATAAACTGCACAAGAGGTGCATTTTGGCAACTGGTGAAAAAAAGAAGGAACACAACAAAGATTTCACCGCTTCATCCAATTTCAAAAGAACTGCTGCTGAGGTGCTTATTTATTTATAGCCTGCCATTATTATTATTATTATTATTATTATTATTATTATTATTATTATTATTTATAAATAACTCAAAGTGGTGAATACATCTAATACTCCTTTCTCCTCTCCCCCCGCCCCCCATTCTGACCATGCCCTTTTCCAACAAATCAAACATAATCTAAAGGGAACAGAAACCTTGTAATGGTTTTACAAAATAATTAGCTGTGATAAACACAAGCCTTGTCAAACGGTACGAGACTTGCCAAAAGATAACAGACAAGAAATAATTTGCAACGCAAGAATCTTCAAATACAAACTCAGGATACTGGAATGTCCACGAGTCTGAGTTTCAAAACGTCTTTGCCTTCTGCAAAGTATGTTCGTTTCACAGCTGGCTTTTATCTTCTTGAAGGAGGGGCCATTACCTTGCAGCCTTACTCCCGAGGTGCCCATGCTGTTGTAGCTGCTCTTTCCTACGAGCAATCCTATGTGCACTTGGCACAGGCTCCTCGGGAACCTCCTCATCACTGCTGCCAGCCCCCACAATCTCTGAAGGCAGCAGTCCACTCCCTAATGGTCCTGGCCCCTCATCTGAGTCCTCGCTCTCCTCAGCCATCCGCACCTGCAGCCGGCTAACCACAACACCCACCCAAACAACAAACTTGTGCACTTCATCCTGAATTTTTGGAAATTTCCAATATAAGTCAGGTATAAATGCTAATTCAAAACATCATGCAAAAAATATTCCAAAAACAAACTTACCTGCTGGAGAAACGTGGGGACAGCTGCTCATTTTTAAGAGTTTTAGGGTATCACTGTTGTTAGCCACTAACACCTTGAGAGATGGATCATCTACTGGCGTATCGTCTATCTTGAGTGAAGAAAGGGATTTGGAGTTTACAAACACCACAGTTAGGGCTGAAACAAAGTGTGACTGTAAAAAAGGAGAAAATGTTGAAATCAAGAAATGGAACGTAATAATCCCATTCTAAAATGCAGTTTATCCATAGAAAACAGCAGCAAACTCAAAAAAAAAAAAAAAAAGAGTACCAAAGTATTTTTCAGCTTCTCAAAATAATATATTGTGAATTAAAAAAATAATTCTGGGTTTGCTGATTAGAAAGGTATGATGTTATAGAAATGGCTGGTACATATTATTATATAAAAGTAAGAAATTGAGGTTTCATGTTATTATTCTACTGCAGCAAAAGGACTCAGAATATGCTTTTTCCTCCTCCTCCCCCCCCCCGTACCCTACACTTTTCTTTCTTCCTCCTTTCCTCCCCTCTTTTACCTTCATCGTTCTTTATTTTTTTTATGCTTTGTTAAAAAAATTAATACAATTTTGAACCAAAAAAAAATAATCCAATTCTATTTAGGAATATTTTTCAGGAGATATTTTTTCAATAACAACACTTCGGTAACTTTTTAGATAGCAAATTTAAAAACGCATTTTAATGAAGAGTAGATCTTCACACTAACTTGGATCTGAGCGCGTGCAGTTTTTTAAGCTTTCAATTTATTTTGTGTTCATCCACATAAAAAAGGAACCAAGACACAAAGCAACAGACTTGTTAAGAAAAGATTTTAAGCAATGGAGAATTCCCAGGGCAGTAGGGCAAACAGGATGCAGTAACAGAAAAGAGAATGCCTTTTCCTCCCTGGTAGGACAAGGGCCCAATTTCTCTTCCCACCCTCTGTTCATTGCATTGGATGAAATCCAGAGATATCCATCTTGTGACATGAGAGACTCTGGCCTCAACCTTTTTGGCCAGACTTCAACAGATGGCCTGTTCAGAATGGTGGGGCTGCCATGGGGAACCAGACCAGACCTACACCTTGGCTACTAGGAACTACAATCCAGTGCAGTCTGCAAAGGGGAAAAAAAAATGGGATGTGAAATTATGCTGGGGCAGAATAAGTGAGACCATCCTGGCCACCCATCCCAGAAGCCAGATGCAGGAGGGTTGTCTTGGTAGATGCCAAGAGGGCAGACTGTGGGATCTTGCTGAAAGGAACAGGCCAGGGTGGTTTCTTCTGCAGCAGCACCAGGCCTTCCTGTTAGGGTGTGGCCAGAAGGTGGTGCCATGAAACCATGGTTTCTATATCTAGGCTGTGGCTCAGAGGGCTCTAGGCGGCCTCTTCTGCTGACATCCATGTGAAACCATTCAGAGCTTGGGAAGAGGTTGTTCACTCCCCACCTTCCAACTTCAAAGGAGCCCTGCCCAATTATTTTAATAATGGGCCGGATGAGGGAGAATCCATTGAAATTAAATCCAGACAAACAGAAATAGCAATAGCGCTTAGACTTATGTACCGCTTCACACCCCTCTAAGCAGTTTACAGAGTCAGCCTATTGTCCCCAATACTCTGGGTCCTCATTTTACCCACCTCCAAAGGATGGAAGGCTGAGTCAACCTTGAGCCTGGTGAAATTCGATCTGCCAAATTACCAGCAGTCAGCAGAAGTAGTTTGCATTCCAACCACTGTGCCACCTAGGCTCTTAAATGCTACCGAGGAGGAGAGTCGTGGGACTCTAGGACAAAGGGGAAGCTTCCCTGGATGGGGCTGACCTCCCCAGGAGGAGCAAGATCTCCAGTTGGCACAGCATCATCAGGTGGCTGCAGTGGTGAGGACTGGCACCACTTATGGCATTGCCCACTTGACCGGTCCTGAGCAACAGTTTTGCAGGCCTTCCTCACAACCTCTCTTGATTACTGCAGGGCTCTTTAGTTGAAAAGGGTCAGAAAAAATATGGCAGCTTGGCTACTCTTTGGCTGTACAGGTGGTCCTTGACTTACAACTGTTCATTTAGTTACAACTCCACTGAGAAAGGTGACTTATGACCGTTTTTCCCCCACACTTATGACTGTTGCAGCATCTCCGTGGTCCGGGATCAAAATTCAGATGCTTGGCAAGTGCCTGTCTTTATGATGGTTGCAGTGTCCTGGGATTACGTGAAGACCTTTTGCAACCTGCTTGACACGCAAAATCAATGGAGAAGCCAGATTTACTTAACAACTGTGTTACTAACTTAACAACTGCAGTGATTCACTCAACAATTGTGGCCAGAAAGGTCATAAAATGGAGCAAAAACCATTTGACAAATGTCTCACCCAGCGACAGAATTTTGGGGGATCCACTGTGGTCGTAAGTCGAGGACTCACTGTACTGAAAGATCTAAAACTGCCTGTTGAAGACAGCTTGGTTTTGGTATTGACCTTAAAGGCCCTCAATGGCTCGGAGTGAGACTGCCCCTCCCGCTGTGATCCCACACAATAACCCTGCCTGGCAGGAAACACCCTCCTGAAGATGCCACTGCAGCCCGGAGCTCAACTCCCAGGTAAATGGGAAAACAACCTTTTCCTGCATGGCTTCCAGATTACAAGTCACACGTTTGTCTCTTCCTCTCACAGTGTTTAGAAGGTAGTTAAAAACTCAACATGCTGGGAATGAGATAAATGGATAATTGGAAAAGAACGGACAAAAGATATAAATATAATGATTTAAATGATTTAAATTAAGAAGAAATAATTAAAATAGAATTAAGAAGAGTAAAAGTGGGGAGAAGTTATATAGAAGATATAGAATGGTAAACAAGAAAGGTAATGGTATATAAGATGAGCATGAATCTAATGGAAGTCCGTATAAAGAGTGGTAATCTGGGGCCAAGTTACTTTCTATAAAGAAGTTTTATGTTTTTGTGTTTTGTGTGTTTATGTTTGTCTGAGAATTAATAAAACCTTGGAGGAATATTAGATGAGAATAACTGTAAACAAGACAGAGGGAAATATGAATATGATGACTATAAAATGGATAAACATAGAAAAGAAATGTAATTGAATAAGAGTAAAGAGAAATAATGAGAAATTTGTTAAAAGATATTTATGAGTCCATATCGAAATGGGACAAATTAGAATAATGTTGTATAAAATAATGTTTTATCTGTCTTGTAAAAATTTATAATGGAAAGAGGTTTTATGTTTTCAAATGTTTAATGATGTTTTGTTTGTCTTTAAAATTAATAAAATTTGTCTTAAAAAAACAACAACTCAACATGCTTTCAGGGGCCTTGACAGTTCATTACCTTAACCCCTGGTTTTATTGGGGGGTTTCAATTTGAATTGTATTCATTTTGTGATTTCTACATGCTTGGCTTTTTAAAATTTATTATAAACTGCCTTGAGGGTCCAATTTTTTTTTGTTTTAGAATTTAGAATAACAGAGTTAGAAGGGACCTTGGAGGTCTTCTAGTCCAACCCCCTGCTTGGGAAGGAAACCCTACACCACTTCAGACAAAGCGTTGTCCAATCTCTTTGTAAAAACTTCCAGTGTTGGAGCATTTACAACTTCCGGAGGCAAGTTGTTCCACTGATTAATTGTTCTATCTGTCAGGAAATTTCTCTTTAATTCTAAGTTGCTTCTCTCCTTGGTTAGTTTCCACCTATTGCTTCTTGTCCTGCCCTCTGATGCTTTGGAGAATAGCTTGACTCCCTCTTCTTTGTGGCAGCCCCTGAGATAGTGGAACAGTGCTGTCATTTCACCCCGGTCCTCCTTTTCATCAAACTAGACATACCCAATTCCTGCAACCGTTCTTTATATGCTTTAGCCTCCCGTTCCCTAATCATCTCTGTTACTCTTCTCTTCACTCTTTCTAGAGTCTTAACATCTTTTTCACATTGTGGTGATCTAGTGTGGTTTCTCAACAGGGCATTATAAAAAAGGGCAGGTTATAAATCCATTCTTCAAGACAAATAGATCTGTTGCATTCTCAAGTTTTGTTCTGGCAAGATCTGAATGGTTTCTCTTGTAAGTTTCACTAGCAATGGTGGACTCAGAGCTTCTGTTGGAACTGACAGCAGTGACTTTTGATACAGAACGAAGGATGTGTGTTAGTTGGAAAAGGGACTACCAGACATCATCTGATTTTATTTTTTTTTGGCCAGCGTAGACTAACATGGCTCTCATCCCTAACGGAACCCGACACCTTCTTCTCTGTGTGCCTGGAAGAGAAAGCTTGATCACAACAGCATGGCCAACAATTGGTTCAAGACTTGCTGGTAACCAACCAGGCTGGATTAGAAAGCTCCGTACCTTTGGTAAATCCATGAAACTCGGTCGAGCAGTGGAAATCAATCCGAGGGTCTTTAAAGAACAATTCACAAGCTGGGATAAGATATCACAAGCAGCCTCAGCCGATTCCTTGCTGCTATCCACCTGAAGGGGAGAAAAAAAAACTTAATGAGAATCAGTGGGTAAACAGTCCCTTCAAACACTCTCTACAGGTAATCGTCGAGTTATGACCAAAATTGAGCCCAACATTTCAGTTGCTAAATGAGAAATTTAGTGAGTTTTGGTCCCATTTTACGACTTTTCTTGCCACATTTGTTAACTGAATCACTGCAGTTCTTACAATTGGTAACATAGTTGTTAAGTGGTTCTGGCTTCCCCATTCACTTGGTGTGCCAGGTCACATGACCCGGGACACTGCAACTGTCATGAATACAAGTCAGTTTCCAAACAACGAAATTTTGAATACATGATCATGGGGATTGTAAGTGTGAAAAACAGTTATAAATCTTTTTTTTTTCCAGTGCTGTTGTCATGTCTCAGTTGGACTCTGATTCCGACTGGGAATTCAGAGGAAGACCCAGGCCCACCCCTTCTTTATCCTAGGGCACGCAGGGAGGAACGGATAAGGGAGCAACGTGGTTTATGGGGGAGGAAAGGCCCCTGATCCCCTTCATGGACTGCAGCTGGGAAGAATATTTAAAAGGGCAAACTGCGCATGGCAAAGTTGCTGGAAGCAAAGCGTGCATTATCTTTGTTGAGGCTTATCTGGGTTTTGGCGTCCTCCCAACTGTGTGTGCCTCGTTATCTTTTGGAAGTCTGCAAGTTATTACCTTGGTCTGTCATGTTAATAACTTCAGCGTGGTTTGTGTTGGGTTTTTTTATTTCTACTTTATCTGTATTTTGGGTTCGGACTGCATTTCTTCCCTTTATAGACTGTTTTTGGAAGAGTTTGATCTCCTGCCGAGGATAATTGGACATTGTGGGCCAAAAAGGCATTAAAGGGAATTTATCTACTTTGGTGACTTTGTTGTTTTTGTGCCACGCCCCGGGTCATCACAGCTGCTGTAACTTTGTATGGTCACTAAATGAAGTGTTGTTTGTCAAGGATTAATTGTACTTTGCTGTTGACTGAAAAGTATTTCAACTCTAAAAATATACTAAAAGGCATAATGCTGATGCTGTTCCTGCTATGAGCCACTGGATGAAAAAAAACCCTATTTTAGGTCATACTGAATGTGAAACATTTGGACAAAGGATTACTTATCACCAGGAGCAGAATCTGCAACAACTTGCCACAGATTGTCTTCCAACTTATAACAAGCAAACAAACAAACAAAAAGCACCACTCTTGCAGCTCTCCTTCCAGGCAGTAACTCACTCCAAGCAGGTGTTCTCCATTATGCTGTAGTTTGCTTTGCTTTCCAACCAACTCTGCTCCTAGGTATGCCAAGTCCTCTCTGAATTGTGGTGGTGTTGTGTGTGTACCCATGTGCAGGGTGAATAAGTCATAAGAACGCATTAATAATAGAACTCACATACTGAGCTCTTAAGAATTAAATGTGGAGCAGCCTATCAATGCTTTTAGGTGAAAATGTTACTTGTTGTACAGGACAACAACCAGCTCTATGGGAAACAAAACAGGAACTTGGTTTATAAGCCGTCATGAATCATTAATCAAGATTGTGCCTCTCATCTCTTTGGTTATTCAGTGTTACATTGGCGAGTTATGATCTGTATGTGTGTGTGTGTTTGGGGGGAGGGGTTCTCAAAGCTGAAACATTGAACAATTTTAATTCCCTGCTGGCAATCCTGATTTGAACTTCAATGTGAAAGACAGTTACGTTTTCCAAAAAAGGGTGCGCTTGTCGAAGAACAGAAAACGGATAAGACCGATAGGGCTCGACACAAATGGGGAAATCTCCTTATTGCTAGGGAAGTAGGAAACACACATCCCAGCACTTTATCTTTTTTTTAATAAAGGAGAATATTTGTAGCTCAGGGTTGACATGAGGGGTCCTTGGTGTTCCCTGAGCTTGCTTGTTTTCTTGCAGACGTTTCATTACCCAAACTAAGTAACATTATCAGCACTAGTCACTGTGCTGGTCTAGCATTGATGATGTTACCTAGTTTGGGTAATGAAACGTCTGCAAGAAAACAAGCAAGCTCAGAGAGCATCAAGGGCTCCTCATTTTATCTTATTCTCTCCCTGACAGTCCCAAAGATGCTTTTTCAGGAGGCAACTGAACTTTGTGTTGTTGTTTTTTGAAGACGTTTCACTTTTCATCCAAGAAGCTTCTTCAGCTCTAGCAGGATAGTGGGAGATGGAAGGATGACCTGGATGACTGAGAATATCTACAGACTTTTCCCTGACTCTCTTCAGCTATTTTCTATGCCTTCATGCAGAGTAGGATTGAGCTTCTGTAGTGCGTTGTTGTTGTTGTTGTTGTTGTTGGATCTGCAAGATCCTTTGGCACTTCAGGGTTTTCCCTCACCCAGAAAGTTCAGACATTTTAAAAGGTTAGGTGTGTTTTGCATGTCTAAGCTGATCAATCATTATCCATCAGACTGGAGCGCCAACAGTGTTTACTCAGCAGGCAAGTGCCTAGGGAGAAAATCTATTCCCTTCCTTCCACTCAGTGCTCACCTCAATGGGCATTAATCTTCACCAAGTTTACACATTAATCCCTCTAGCTCTTCTTTCATATCAGCAGGTCATTATTTAAAACGTAAAACAACCACAGGATTGTCTACTCCAAAATCAAAGCAGGTGGGAAAGTAGATCCAACCATCTCGGCAGCTTTTTCCTTCTGGAATCTCACCCAGTCCCAAGTGGTGTGGCTACAGGAAGAAAAGTCTCATAAGAGCAACTTGCAATTTGCTAGGTTTGAAAACTCTAAGAGGGTATTTGGGAGCTTCCCTTCTTTAGTTGGAAATGAGAGCTTTAGCTGGAAATTTACCCATGTATCAGGGTATCAGAAAATTCCAGCAGTTAATTCAAAATGCAACCAGATCTTGATTTCTTACTAGATCTGGAAGTTCCAGTTATGCAGAAAGCAACCTTCCTACCAATCATTCCAATCTGGCCTCACACTTTCAATCCCATGCTTGGATCCACCTAGATTCCAAATAGGAGATTTACATATCACTAGACAATCAAGACTGACACTTCAACATTCTTTGGTCCAGGAAGTTATCTAGTTATCAAGTTGATGAAACAACAGAGAATAAAGATAGGAGGATGACTTAAAGGCCTAATGTGTCTTGAAGCCATATTCTCAGACCTGATTACAGTGGGAAAAATGTATTTTATCTCCACAGATGTCTCTGAGGGGGAATCCTGTCAAATAATGCTCCTATTCCCTGGCTCCCTATCTGGAGTCTACAAATGGTTCTCAAAATCCTGAGATGCCTCCATCAGAACCTTCATATTTAATCTCCTCAACATTACTACCAGGAAGGGTTGTTTTTTTTTTTTTTTTTGGGGGGGGGGGTAGCATCAACTCTTTTTTTCTCAGGTGGAAACTACCTAAGAAGCTGACTGTGGTCTATCATTAGATCTCATTCACAAACTATACTCACCTTTTCATGTGGAATACAAATCCTTTCTACTTCTTTTTGTCCAAAATCTTCCTGGAAAACTCATGGCACAGACTGGCTTTCCATTTTTATCATTTTTCACCCAACCTCTTTAGGGCCCAAGATGTCTAATTCTAGTGTGCTGTCTTAGAGCCTGCTTCTTTCTGTCTTACAACGTTTCACGGCAGTCTGGCTTATTACATCAATCTTCTCACTACCACCCATCTTGAAAAAATTGTCTGCTATTAAAAGGTGTAAGAAGATGGATTCCTAGGCCTTTGCCGAGGCTGTCCTCAGAAATTTTACAGCTGGTGTTTTCTCCACATGCCATCTGGCATAAATGCACTTCAACTGAAATGAACTCATGTAATTACTGAATTTGGTACAACCAAATTATACTGCCCCAACCAGAAAAGAAATACCAAAAAACATCTTCGTGTTTGACAAGGAAGCATTCATCCTCTGGAAAAGATATTTTTTTTGGAGAGAGGGAAAATGGCATTTTTTTGTTAGGTTCTGAGGCCCTTTGTCCTGTTTTCATTCTTTTTAAAAAACTAGACTTATGAGCAGCTCGACAGTTGTCTTAGCTCATTAAGGCTTTACCATGATAGAAACTGGAAGGAATTGGAATTAGATGGGGTAAAAATGTCTTGGGTATTCTCTATTGTCCTGGAAAAAACAAAAGACTAATTCACTGTGTAGATGGGCTCCCTCACATCAAGAGGAAATATCCACTGAGACAAATATTCAACATGCCTCCAATTGTTGTGCTCTTGGTCTACTCTACAACATATAATTAAATTATAAAAAATTAAAAGGTTGAATAATCATTTTGTTTTAAATAAAGCAGTTAACATATACCACAGAACACCTAAATACAGATGCCTAAGATACAATTAGATCTTAAAAATAACTTGCAACCAAACAAAATGTTTATTCTGTTCTGTTCTATTCTCCATTCCATTCCATTCCATTCCATTATTCTATTTCTTTCCTATCCATCCCTTCCTTCCTTAACCTATCCTTTCCTGCCATACCCTTCCCTTCCCTACCTTATTCTTTCTTACACGAATCTTTATTGGATTATAAAAATGTGCATCAACTCACAAATCAGGGCTGGGGAATTTTCTTTCTACATATAGCCCACAGATCATCCTGCTGAAATCAATCCGCAAAGATAAATATTTTGCCAACACGGATTCAAGCCTCTATCTTGGAGCTGCTGGGAAATTTTACAGATCGAGCTGGGCATTAGACAATCAAAAACTCCTCCCCAAAGGCATAGGATGAAAAACTTAGTCCCCCTACTCTTTTGATGCCTCAGAATTTCAAAGGATCCCTATCCATCTCAGACTAAATGGTTGAACTCCTGAACTCCTGATTAATTTCACAATCAGTTAGTCTGCCAGCCTCTTACATTTCCATGAGGGAAGGTCCAAAATATTTAGAATTGGTTCTGCTCCCTTCTCAGGCAAGCTGTTCCAAATGTCCAATGAGAGAGCATATGTTAAGCCCTAGGCTATCGCAAGGTGGATGCTACTGGGACACGATTCCAGATGTGGCCAAACCACGAAGCAGCACAACGGCATCACAGCGTTGAACATTTTATTTTTTTAAATACATTTTGGATTCAAAATGTTTTCGTGTCAGGGTCAAAAAAGCCCTGCAAATTTTTCAGATTTTAGCATATTATCCATAACAAAAATAAATACAAATGAAACTTAACTTGTTCAAATAAAACAATGGACCTGTACACAATTCACTGAGTTCAATGATAATCCATGATGTGTCAAAAGATTTGTAACAACTATTATTAGTCAAGCACAACACTTCACATCCTTTAACACCAAGTTTGTGTAAGCATTCCCAAGGTGATTAGTGTGTGGGCAGGACTAATAAAACATTCAATTGTTGTCAGCTATTTTGCTGTTTGTGTTAACCACAAAAATGGCCCTCACCCTGTTTTGGTTGCTGCCATTTTTCTGTGTCTGCTCCCTTAACCACCAAAGGAAGAGAGTGACTTCCTCAACAAAAGGGCCTGATTAGACCAGGTTTTTTTTTTTTAAAAAAAATGCTGACATGCCATACTGTGCTGTGGAAAGGCTTAGCAAAAGTATTTTCTCCCTATCAACGGGGCCTTTATTTATCCGAGTTGGAGGCCTGAGATTTTTCTATGCCATTCAAATTCACAATAGCTATCCTTCTTGATTGGCAGAAGCTGGAATCGAAAGTTTGCCAGACTTTCAAATTACTTTGCTGAAAATCAGAATATTGCAAGTCCAGGTTTGAACCTTGCTAAATCTCAGGTGAACTACTGCTTTTAGCTAGTAAACTCCATTAAGCCTTTCATGTACCTTACTAGATTGTGCAAATAATGATGTTATTGACAGATGCCTGCATCACCATGGGCTATTCAGCATCACGGGAATGAGCGGCTAAGCAGGCAAAGCCTTTAACCCTAGTTAACCTGGTTGCACAGTCCCACTGACTGATTCATTTCTCCTCAAGCAGACTCTGTGGAAGGCCATGTTTTGGCTCTTGCTGCTCTGTTGAGTAGCTGGCTGGCTTGGAAGTTCCCTCTCTCTTGTCTCTCTTTTGCCTGCATGTTATTTTATAGATTTTGTTCAATATGTTAATTCCTCCTCAGAAACTACTATTTTTACTCCTGGTCATTATTTGTATTTTTCAAAACACTTCAGGAGCACCAATGCTATCAATCCATGTTTATTTTAGTCTGTCTTCAACTGCCAAAGAATTTGAAGTTTCAGTACTGTGGTCAGCATCATCCCTAAAAACAGGTATCTCCTGTTTTTATCTGAATATAGATACCCAGTAAGGGCCTGCCTCTTCTCCAATTCTGTGATCAACCTTTTACATTTAATCCACCAAGACTGAATTCATCCGCTCTTCATCCACCAGTAATTCCTTCCACTTCTCCCCGTTCTGCTATTTCTTTCTCCTCCCTTCTAAACATCTTGGTCTAGTTCCTGCATTTCTCCTTCAATCCTCTCTCTCCACCTATGCCCTCCATCACCTGCAGGACTTCAGAAGGGAGTTGAGGAAAAGCCAGCCAGGTTCCCAACTCCAAACATGACAGCGTTAAGACTTGTGGACTTCAATTCCCAGAATTCCTCCTCCAGTCATGTTAGCTCAGGAATTCTGGGAGTTGAAGTCCACAAGCCTTAAACTTGCCAACTTTGAAGAGCCTTGCCTTAAGTGACGAAGCACCTACAACCTCTGGAGGCAAGTTGTTCCTAATTGTCCTCATTATTAGGAAGTTTCTCCTTAATTCCAGGTGGCTTCTCTCTTTGATCAGTTTCCATCCATTGTTTCTTGTCCTGCCTGAAGGTGCTTAAGAGAATAGGTTGCCCCGCTCTTCTTTGTGGCAGCCTCTCAAATGTTGGAATACAGCTATCGTATCCTCCCTGGGCCTTCTTTTCACTAGGCAAGGAATCCCCCTCCCACATTTGGACTGCATTCAGGCGGACTGTGCTTGCTGGGCCAGGAAGCAGCAGCGGCAGCAACCGGGCGCCCGGCCAACCTGGGTCTCGCTCACCTTGAAGCTGACGTACTGCAGGTGGCCGGCGTGCCGCTTGAGGATCTGCTTGATGAGCTCCGGGTGGGTGGCTCTGGCGCCGGGCTGGCCCAGCTCGAACTCGAAGCGGCGCCACAGCTCCGGCAGGTGGAAAGCCCGCTGCCAGCCGCGGCAGACCTGCGAGGCCCGCGCTCGGTCCAGCAACGGCAGGTGCTGGAAGACGCGGAGCAGCACCTCCGGCAGCAGGGAAGCCCAATCCGGGCCGGGAAGATCCCGCCGTTTGCTTCCGCCTTCGGGGTCTCCCGTTCGCTCTGCTTCTGCCGCCGCCGGCTTCATGCTGCCGGGGTCGTCTCGGCGACAGCGGCGGCGGCGACGACCCGAAGAAAGGCCTCGAGCGCCGCCGCCGCCGCCGCCCTTTTCCCTAGTCGCCATGGCAACGCTCCCCCTTCCTTCCCAAGCGGCGGCCTTAACCCGGGCCCGGCCGTCGCGGCCTCCTCTTCCCGCACCCCATGGAGTGGGAATGGTCTCCCGCGTTTCTCTCAACTGGGCCGCCGCCGCCACGAGTCTCCCTCCCACCGCCTTAAAAAGAGTTCTCGACCACCTTCGCCGCCTTATTTACTTCGCGCCGGTCAAGGTGGCGGTAGGCAGCGCATGCGCAGCCTGGGCCCTTCCCTCCCTCCCACACACACAGCCTGACAAAAATTCTCCTCAGGAGTCTCCGGTAGGAAAAGGCCCCGCGTGGCTTTATTGAGGCTACATTCCTTTCGGCGGCGCTGCTGGGCGGGGAGGCGTCTCACGGAAGTGCACTTCGGCCAGACGGCGCCCCCGAGCCCCACAAAAATTGGGAGGAATGGAAGCCGCCGCTTACAATCCAGGACTTCTGAGGCGGGAGGACAGACATGAACACGGCTATATATATATATAGATATATATATAATATATATATATATAAATCTGTACAGCGCGATCGAGACTGGTTACATCGAGGTCTGAAGATGCCCCGCCGCTGTTTATCCGCCTCCCGCCCTACCCTGCCCGCGGCAGCCACTGTCCGGCATTCAGGAGGAGGAGGAGGAGGAGGAAGAAGAGGCGAAGTCAGCGGCCTCCGAAGTCCCTGCTCGGCTGAGGCTCGAGGGGGGGCGATGCGCAGCGCGGCCGCATGCAAAGCGCCTGAGGCAGGCCCGGCCCCGGCGCCGTGCGGGCCAAACGGTCCCCGGCCTGGGTTGCGACGTTCGGCTCAGAGACGGCTAGAAAGTGTGCGCGTTTCTGCAGACGCCGCAGCCCAGCGCGAACTCCTCGCCCGTGGGAGGATGGACGACGTGGAGCGGACACTCGGCCCCTTCCAGCTGCTTACTCTTGGGACCTGCAAGAGAAGCCAAGGGCGGCCGTCAACCCCGGGGTTCCCCGTCAGGGCTGCCCCCGTCCCCCGTGTGGAGCAACGCAGGGCTTCTTCCCGCAAACCAGCTGCGCTCCGAAAGCCTGCCTGTCATGACCAGGCGTGGGGGGGGGAAAGAAAAGAAACAAGACTTTGCAAGGGTTCTCCCTGGATCTAAGGATTTTTTATATTATTATTATTAAAAGGGATTCGATGCCCTTTGGCTGTGTGATCCTACCAGTTATTTTCTTCATTCATTCCAATATGCATGCTTGCCTGAGATTTAATCGCTGTTTCCCCCCCCCCCCCCAGCCCCCCCTCCCCCCCAAAAAACCCTGATCGGATGTTTGGCTTGGCTATAGTTACACCACCAGCAGACCTCAAAAATGGGCCCTTTAAATGTCATGGGACAGTTGAGACCAGGGGTTTCCAATCTTGGCAACTTTTAAGACGTGTGGACTTCGACTCCCAGATCTGGAGTTGAAGTCCACAGATCTTAAAGGTTGCCAAGATTGGGAACCCCTGAGCTAGACCACTGCAACTGACTTTAAGCCCTCTTCATTTTTTTTTTCTTCCCACAATGTAGGAACTTTCACGTTACACAGCTATCATGACCTGCACTGGAAAATGTTAGGCAAAATTAATCAAACTTGAAGTTTATTTTGATGCTTCTAAACCTCATCTGGAAGAACACCACATTGACAATGATCGAAGACAACTCACAAACTACCCAGAAATATAATTCAAATATAATTCAAATATTACCTGCAGGGCAGTGAGGAAGCTCCTCTTTCGGAACACTTGTCATTCTCTGGAAATCATCGTGACAAGCGTTGCAAAAATGGGTGGTCCCAAAGCAAAAGAAAACAGCCACCGAACAACAGTAGCGGCATTTGTACTCTAGAAAATCTGTACCGTGTTTTGGACACATCTGTTGGGGGGGGGGGGGAGAAAGAAAAAGCACAGCTTAAGCTGAAGAGAATGAACACTGATTTAAGATCTATGAAGATGCATGCAGTGCTGGCTAGGGAATTCTGGGAGTTGCAGTCCACAAGTTGGGAGACCCCTGGCCTATTGAACATGTCCCCAAAATGGCAAAAGGAAAATGCTTCACTACCTGAGCTCTTGATACATCAGAACAGGCGCCGCAGATGAGTTCCCGGGGGTCGTAATCGTCTCCTTGTCCAGCTTCAGCATCACAACGGGCTTCTCCACCAAAGTAAGCCTGGAGGAACAAAAACCAAGAAGAAATGCTGAGCACCATATCACACCAATTTCCAGAAACATCAGTGAAACAGTAACACGCCTCCTGTGTTATCTCTTAATTACATCATCTTGTGTTTCCAGCTTTTCTCAGCTTTAGGGAAGAAAAACAAAGCAAGGGCAGTATGAATGAAGGGCTTTCATTAGGATCCAATACGAAAACTTTTTTTTTTTGTTTCAAAATTCCGTTTTGAAGGGATCTCTTATGAAATTGGGCCAGTAATGAACTATAAAGGTGTCATGCTTTTGAAGCAAATACTTTCAACATTAGTAGTAATGGAAAGTTATACCTATTACATGTGAAACATGTGAATCAAATAATAGAAAAGGCATTAGGATATATCCATTTGAAAAAAATGTCCCAATTCCAAATGTATCCTAAGTATATGTGATTCTGTGGCAGCAAAATTTCTTGGAGCAAAAGGCCTTAGGAACTGAAAAGATACTGAATAAAGGAAGAAGGATAAGAAAGGCCATTTGTAATGCAAGATGCAAGAAAATTTAGAAAATAAAGAGGAAAGAAAAAAGAGGTCCTTGAAAGCAAGAGTGTGTAAACTGAAAGTTGAGAAATAAGTCACCACACTTCGGTCTTAAGTATCTAGCCTGAATGTCACTACCAAAACACTGATAGTTCAACTTTCCTTCAATTTTCATGGAGAGCTGGATTGAAAAAAATACATTTAAAAATACAATAACAGTATTGTGATTTTTTAAAATATACCTGTGGTCAAGAATAATTTGCTTGGATATAGAGCAGTCAATGTTATCATCTAAAAATATGTGGCTGGGTAAATAATCAGGAAATGGCATGTCCCTATCAATCATGTTGAAACACACATCTCATGTCTGTCACCTGAACCTGGATCATACCTTTTTGCATTTGTAGCAAACATAATATGCATATCTGTTCATGGCAAAGCCAGCAGGATCATTATAAAACCGAACTCCAGGTGTTGTGATGGCTTCGCTCTTGTGCAGCCCTTCATATTCCAGCCTCATTAGAGCTTTCCTCTTCACATCCTCATAAAGTTCCTTGATTGGATCAAGTAAGTCCTTTAATACCGCATGGTTTATTTTGTTCTGTTGTGTTAAAAAGAAAGAAAGAAGCAGTAAGCCTCAAATTATCGTTTACTGGCCAAAAAAAAAAAAAGATTCTAGTTTGCTTGGTATGGAACAAATGACAACTAGTGTGTTCATGTAAACAGTCCTTCTGTGAAGAGGAAAGACAACACAGGCCAAAGCAATTAGGACTGGAATTTTGGTTGTCATAAATTGAGGCACTCATATAATAGGACCCAATTATGACCTTTGTTAAGCAAATCATGTGGTCTTCAGTGCAAATTCCCTAATGGGCATTCCTCCCCTCAGAAACTGGCAAAAAAATGTAACATTGTCACGTGACTATCGGACGTGCAATCGGTCATAAATATGAACAGTTGCCAAATGTCCAAAATATGGAATACAAGTAAAGTAAATAAGGGAAAAGTATTTGCAAGTAATTGATCACTATGAAAACCAATGGAAAACTCATGCAATTCCTTTTTTTCTACTACTTCCAAAACTCAGATTTCTAATTCATTAAGATTATCAATGGATAATCAATGGAGACAGAAGTGTCTCCTTCAATGTAAATTACCCGATGCATAAGAAAAACCTCTTGACTCTGTAACTTACCTTGCAAATGGGGCAGGACATGAACCCAAAAGTAATGCGGGGGCCAAGCCATCGGTTTTCTAGAACCCGGCAGCAGCATTGCAGGTGGAATATATGGCTACAGTCCAGCTGCAGAAAATAAGAACTATGAATAAATTTGCACTGATACTCGATAGATCCACCAAAGCTCAATATTCCCTTAACTTTTCCTAACTGCAAGATTTTCCACAACTATCTGGTCTCTTAACAGCCGTTGATTTGTTGAAAAATCAAAGGGGCCTGATTTCCATGTTACATCAACCCTATTTTGCAATTCATGATAATCAGCTTTAGTGTCATATCTGACCCCAATTATTTGATCCCATGAAATAACCACCCATGTTGGACAATTTTAGCACAGTGAATTCAAGCTTGTGATAAGAAAAGTGATGGCTGATAGGTATGAATAGAATCGGTTGGAAAGAAAGGAAAATGATGTGCTTGTGTGCTCTGGTATACTCAGTAGTTTGCTGCAAATGCTATTGTTTAACCAAGGTGGATGTTAATCATTATTTTTGACTTTAATCTGGTAAAATCATATTTTGGCTAGAATCTGGTCTTTGAAGTATACATTGCAATCCCTGCAGTACCTTTCTAACTTTCCAGTGAAAGTAGTTTGCTTAATCCCACTTCAAGCTTTATTTTCACATTGCTTTTTATACCTAATTCAGGATTAAAATTATTGAAATGAAATATTGAAATATGATGGGGGAAAAAAATAAGACGACCAGATTAAGATAATCCTGGAGAAAAAGCAATGGACTCTATTAAACCAGGCTTGGAAGCTAATCAGCACAGTGGTGTGGGTATCCCCTCTGATTCAACAGAACTTGGCTTGAATTCCTGCACCAGGTCTGCAGTTGGCAGCGGCTTCACTGGTGCCCTTGGCACCCTAACCCTTAGCAAGGGTTTGTCTTATTTTCATGTTGTTTTTTTCCTAACTAGGGAACTTCCTAGTTCTGATGGCTGAGCACCAATTTGGCACATTTGACCCAAAGCGAGTGATATTAGTCTCTCAATTTCTTCTCCTGTCATCATTTTCCAACCCAAATAGCTCCGGAGGAGGTGGCAATTCTGCTTCCAGTTCCCTATAAGGAGTCCTGGGAAGGGACCTTCAAGCCCGTGGTACCTCCTGCCCTACCATGAAACCACTGGGTCCCCAAATGGTGATTCGAGCATGTGATCTGCTCAGCCACCAGGATAACTTTGGTTCTGAGAAATGAACGGGTCTCTTTAGATTCCCATTAGCCCGTTTTCAGAGCTACTGACTACTGGTCTGCTTTCTGCTGTTGGTAATCAGCGCTCACGTT